CAACATCGATACTGTCGCGCTCGGTGAGACTCGACTCGCTGACTTAGGTAAGTTGCATGAAGCAGATGCTGGCTACACATTCTACTGCGTGGGCGACGCCGCCTAAGCACCACGTGAACATGAGGTCGGATTTACAATGTCCGATCACCTAAATGGTCAGCTGGTGGGTGAACCAACAGGCATCAGCGCGCGACTGATGACTGTTCGCCTACGGCTCGGAAGAGGTAAGTTTGCCACTTTTACAGGCACTTACGGTCCGACCATGTGTTATTCTGATGACACGCGTGATCGATTCAACACTCAGCTATCCTCCCTGATACGGTCTGTGCCGAGGAGCGACCGACTATTTCTGTTGAGGGATTTCAACGCGGGCGTTGGGCGTGCTGCATCGGCATGGACAGATGTTATCGGCCCGCATGACATTGGTTCAACGAATGCAAACGGTGACAGACTGATCTCACTGTGTGCCACTCATAACCTGACGATCACGAACGCTTGGTTTGCACTGAGTGCGAGTGATTTGGCAACTTGGGTGCACGTACCGAGTGGTCACGCCCACCTACTCGACTATGTCATCGTGATATGCGTGAAGTGCACATGACACGTGTACTGTGTGGAGATGAGTGTGGCACTGATCACAAATTGGTGCGGACCAAACTGTACATATATTTTTGTAAATCTATGTATTGCACTCCTGTCGTGAATCGGCATAGATTTAACATTCTCTCCCTCGGTACTGTGGAGCAACGTATTGAGCTGGAGAAGACGATGGCTGCACGCCTGTGTGATGTAGAATGCATAGCCACCTTGGGCGACCTGTGGTACCATAATCATGACCGGGAGACAGCTGCTGCCGACGAGACCATCGGACACGCAAACTGTAAGCGGCCTGATTGGTTTGATGGAAACAATGCTCCGATTGACGCATTGGTGTCGGAGAAAAATGCAGCATTTGCTGCACATGTGGCAGACCCCAGAGATTTAAGGAAGAATAGTCAGTTTCGCAAACTACGACAGCGACTGACCCGAGGGCTCCGTCGCATCAAAATATGCATTGTGGACGGATGAGGTGAAGTAGATGAAATGCTACGCCGAACGCCGCAAACAAGGAATTCTTCGACTCCTTGAAGGCAGTGTATGGAGCCGCTGAGGAGGCTAATCGATAGTAGCTCAGACACTACCTGCACACAGACTGCAGACATAATGCAGATCTGGCAAGAATCCTGACTGTCTATTGAACAACCGTTCGTAGATCGACTGGCCTACTTTGAACGGCCTGAAGCAGCACGATGCGAAGACGAGTCTGGCGGACACACCGACACTGGATGAGACGCAGAGAGCACTTTCTAAGCTGCGAAACGACAAGTGTGTCGATGTCGACGGGATCCCGCCTGAAGTATTGAAACACGGTGGACCTGCGTTAGTGACTGCGCTGCACCACTTGGTGCAACGAGAGTGGACTGAGTAGGAAGTGCATCCTGAGCTGAAGTACCACTGTACCAGAGCAACGGGAGCAAGCAGTGTTGTACGAATTATCGTGGCATCAACGTGGTGAGTTTTGTGGGCAAGGTGATTACCTGAATCCTGCTCAACCGCCTCGTCAGTAAGGTTGTGGAACCTAAAGTTGTGGATGAGCAGTGTGGATTCCGTTCGGGTCGCAGCACTATAGATATGGTGTTTGCGGCTCGTCAGTTGCAGAGGAAGTGCGGAGAATGACACCAGCCTTTTACTCGCTTTGTGCTGACTTCACCAAGACATTTGATACGGTGATCCGCGAGGCATTGTGTCTGGTGCCGGGTAAGTTTGGTTGCCCGCGTAAGTTTGTAACTTTAATTGAATGTCTGCACAGTGGTATGAGGGCGAGGGTGCAACTGAGTGGAGTGGAGTCGGATGACTTTGCAGTTGTCTCTGGTGTGAAACAAAGCTGTCTTAGCTCCTACCCTATTTAATATTTATCTTCATGCAATGATGTCTTGTGCTTTTGATGCGGCTTGTGTTTACGGTGTTCGTGTGGAGCACCGTATTGATGGTGGGTTGCTGAACATCCATCGTTTCGGTGCGAGAACTCTAGCCTGTGAGACAACTATCCGTATGTTGCTGTTTGCTGACGACAGTGCGTTGTTCGCACACAGCGCGGATGAGTTGCAGCACATAATTAGTGCTTTGGCTTTGACAGCAGCCAAATTCGGGCTCACCATCAACACAATCAAAACTGTTTGTCAAGTTCAGCCTTCACCGGAGGTGCAATCTTCAATATTGCCGCAAATCAGTGCTGATGATGACGTATTGGAAACCTCCTCCCGCTTCTGCTACCTTGGGAGTGTGGTGTCGACTGACCAGCAGATACACAGTGAGCTTCGTATCCGCGTCTCGAAAGCAGCGGCGGCATTCGGGAAGTTTGAGTACCGAAAGTGGAACAAACATCAGCTTACCGTTGGCACGAAGCTGATGGTGTGCAAATTCATGGTGCTGTCCGTTCTTCTATACGGCAGCGAAACGTGGACGATGTACCGGCGGGATGTGCGTTATCTCGAACGGTTCCATCCACAATGTTTGCGACGGATTCTGCGCATTGGTTGGTGCGACAGAGTTGAAGACACAGAAGTGTTGAGCCGAAGTGGTATGTATGCAGTGGACTGCATACTTCTGCTGAGACACCTTAAGTGGCTCGGTAATGTATAGCGTATGGATTCGACGCGGATACCGAAACAACTATTACATGCTCAACTGAGTTTGGGGAAGCGTAATGTGGGAAAACCGAAGCTTCGTTACTAAGACATAATCAAAGTGAGCCTCTCACGTTCTAATCTTGTTTGCAGGTCATAGGAATTGAAATCGGTTGATCCGCGTGCATGGCCCGATCTGATCACAAAGGTCGTTGCCGAATTGTAAGAGAAATCCCTCGTGCATGTAGAGAAGAAGCAGTAATTGCAGAAGCGGCAGGCGCCGATGGGTTGTAGTCCATCGACATCGAGTACATGGTGGTGTGGCACATGCGGTTGCGAATGCCTGAGTCAGGCAGGTCTAGTGAGCCATGAGCGAGGCCACTTGAGGCCACCACCGAAACGACCACGAGTCCTGCTGAGAACGTAGGCGGAACTGACGCAGCGTTTGTAGATACGCTGCCTTCGATTTAATAACCGCTTGCCTGTATGCTAAGTCTCTTTATTTCAGGTGGTGAGGTTGGCTATATTGTCTCATTATTACCTACGTGAACTATCTTCTGTTTATTCGCCCATGCCTGCGCCTACAGAGGGACCATGGGTGGCTTGCGCTGCATCACCCACAACTCCAACCACATACCCCATATCCAGTGTAAACCTGACGGAATAAAACCGGGTGGCATGTGGATGGGAGCCACGTTCCATCAACGGAGCCAGCCCACACTCCTTCATAGTCGAACGCGAGCACGCTGTATTTGAGAATCAAGCGCACACAAGGCGATGGGTGGACCGTAATCCGCTCAACACTTAGTGCATGGAACCATTCTTCGAGTCTAGCACGACCACAATTACCGTACACCCTTTCCCCTCCAGCAACGGCCAACTATCTTATAGGGCCAATATGGACGAGGTAGTGGGTAATAGACAGGTAGGCACCTTGTCAACACTCACATCAATCGCAGCCACATCGGGGATGTCAAACATCATCCAATCACTTGAAATAACAGTAACGAATAAAATATATCTGTTAAAGGATACGGCTATGCAGACATAACTCTCCATTAAATTAGGATATGAAGTGTGTTGGTTAGCAACGAATCCGCGACAAGTAAAAAATGTTTAGAAGTGACTCAGAAAATGCTACAAACGCAATAAAGCTAACGAAGATAAACACAATTACCGTAAGCAACGTGGAAATTTAATAGATTATTCCGGTACGCAGAACAAATCAAAGAAAGTGGAATGAAATTTATCCAGCTTAAAAAGGGACTTAGTTTAAGTGTAAGTTGGTTTAGCCCAACTGCGGTGAAGAAGCATCATGAATGCAACATCAGCCTCAGCATGGGGCACATCTCATGCATATATGGTTGGTATATATATATATATGGTGGTTTTCAGCTTTTCGTAGCCGAGAAATTCAAGTATCTGGGCAGCTATATCAGCGCCAACAGAATTGAACATGAAATCACAAACCGCATAGCGAAAGCTCTAACCGCTTTTGCCAATCTCCGCTACCTGTAGCACCAGCCTGACATTACTCTGGCTTTGAAAGACAAAGTTTACAATGCAGCTATCTGTTCAACCCTCCTGCACGGTTGCTAAACCTGGTCCATTAGGTCGATAGACTTTGAGAGACTTATTACGTTCGACCATCGCTGCTTTCGCAGCATGGTTCATGTTTGGTAGGAACAACGCGTGAGCAATGAGCCTGTTTGGTGCAAGATGCGCTAGTAAACCGCTCAGCACAATTGTATCACACACCAGACTCCGACTGCTGAGCCACATGCTGTGCATGACAGCACACCGACGCCCGCGTCGTGTATTGTTTGTGCGGCCAGGGGGTGGATGGAATAAGTGGAGACCAAGCGATAGATTGCTCAAGATAAATGAGGTCCCTCACTTCGAACCTGACATCGGATGGGGTTTCCCGACTGCCGGGCTGGGGACCGAAGGACGATGAATACGTTTGTTTGGATACACTAACTGACGTGGCAAAGAGCCGACCTCACTGGCGTTTGTGTTGTGAGTCTCTTTGTCCCTCCTCTCCCCTTAAGCTTCCTCCGCCACCAACGAAATCACACCCTATGCATAATCTGATATTTAGCATTATGTTGCTTTTCTTATATCTTTTTTATCGGCATTTTTTGATCTCTTACCTTTTTATTGCTGCATATCAGTTGAGGTGGGTTTCTCACCCTCAGCTAACGTGTATTTATGCTGATGATTATGATGAGTCTATTCCTGGAATTCTCTTAATCCTTTTTAATTTGTCACTGGTCTCATGGTCCATGCTCCACCAAAGTACAGTGGTTGTTCTTATGCTTGCTTCACTTCTTTTGCAGAGACAAGGATTACAACTCAATCGCCGAAGTGTCGGGAGCTCTGCTTCGCTCACCAGTGCAAGAAACAGGACGCTAGTTAGGCGGGAGCCTACTTCGTCCTTGAACGTAACCTGACCTGAGTCGATGCGCCTTTTGAGAGTTTGCACATTTTTCTCATGGATCAGGTTCAAAGCAGCCTAATCGGTTTGGTTGCGGGCATCAACGGTTAGACTGCCTTATTTTAACCTTTCTTGCAGGTGGAATAGCAACAGTTTATGTTGGCCAACCCCTAGATACCATTAAGGTCAAACTGCAGGCTTTTCCCGAATCGTACAGCAGCGCTTTGAACTGTTTCAGAGTAACGTTAGCGAAAGATGGCATTGTTAGAGGTCTTTATGCAGGCACAGCTCCAGCTTTAGCTGCCAATATAGCGGAGAATTCCGTCTTGTTTTGCGCACTTCCTCTTTGTCAAAACTTGGTCCGAATTGGGTTCTCTAAGCATCCTAGTGATAACCTATCAGATTTCCAACATGCATGCGCCGGGAGCCTGGCTGCATTCTGGTCCAGCCTCGCTCTCTGTCCAACAGAACTGGTCAAGTGCAAAGTGCAATCATTGCGAGAAATGACGGAGCTCGGGCGTGGCACCATGCATCCTTCCCAGATGTGAGTTCGACTTTGACGTCAAGTACTGATCAATTGTTTTTATACACGCAAGCGTGTATCTTCTTTTAGCTGATCTATTAACTCCGGAACAACCTATTTCATGATACGTTTGTATCTTTCGAGCGATTTGTACTCGTAAAAGTAAAATTTCAAACCAAATGTGCTGTAAATTCAATATTTTGAGGACCTATTTTCTAGTCGTTAGCTTAAACTCTTAAAGGTCTGTCGTCTGTTGAGTGCACCTTAGCTCAGTCTGTAATTATAGCAATACATATAAATCCTGGATGTACTCCCAAGCAAGTTTATCTAAACTCATTCTGTGACTAAGTGTCAGGAAATGGATGATTTTAACTTCCCTGAGGCTTGTTGGGGTGATACATTATCTACTTTAGAGCTTGTCTCTACTAAGTACATGAATAAATAAACAACCTTTGCATACGATTCGTCTCTGGGTGCCAGCAATCATGCGTGCATGTATTTTCGACGTACTCTTTCGAGGCAACGTCAAATATTTGGCCGGCGAACCTCAAACTAGTGCGAGCCAAAACTTCATCTTTGCATTGTGAGATTTTAGAGGGTTGCCTATTCCGGGAGCCCAGAGAGCGATTCCAGAAGACAGATCGAGTTGCAGGGAAACTTTTATTGGTTCAGCAAAAGATTCCCTGTTAGCTAGCTATAAATGAACGACACCGTGGACGCTCTAGCTAGGGAAACGGATCAAGCACAGCACACAGGGCAGTTGCGCGTTGCAACCGAAACGAGCGCCAAGCAAAAATGGCGATGAGCAAGTAAAGCATTCGAACTCAGCAAACAGTTCAACAAACCACACCGGTTGCCTAAGTGTACAATTATAGAATTTTGGTTAGAATTTTACACAAGCAAACCGGGGAATCTCCAGACTGCTACATAGCCCTCTCCCAGAAGGGACTGTGTAAGCAGTCCTTCGATCTACGTGAGGACTGTCCGTCGCGGGCCAGCCTTCTGCGAGACCAGGTTGTGAAACCTGATGCAGCTGCTGGGGGAGAACCATGCAATCGGACCCTAGCGGGCTCCCACCCGTGTCCTCCCTACGGTGTCGAAACGGTAAAAAATGTATAGGACAGTTAGTAAAGTTCACGTAGTGGTTGAGCAGGAAGTTCGTTCCACTTGCAGTTGACGTGCGGGGATCCAGCGAAAGTGAAACCGAGGTGCAACCAACCGACGGTGTATATGGAAAGCAAAATGAAAAAGCAGCATAAATGCATAGCAATACACAAAAGAGTGCAAAGCGAAAAACGTGCAAAGCTGTTTTTGGGTTTTCAAAAAGTTTTGCTCTTTTTGGTAGTTTCAAAACGTTTTGGTCTTTTTTTGTGGATTTTCAAAAACGTTTAGTAAGAGCAGAAAATTTCTAAGGCACGTTCTACGTAAAATAGTAAGTGCTGACAAAGTCTGAAAAACGAACTGGAGGCTTGAGTTTCCTACCGCGTCGATTGAGAGTAGGGCGGGTAGGAGTGCTGTCGGTTGTGTTTGTCGGTTCTGCTGGAGCGGGCTGACTCGTCTGCGTTTGCGGTGCCGGCTGTGATGGCACGGGCTGTGAAGGTGCTTGTTGCACCGGCGAGTCAGACTTGTCGAGGAATGCTGGCTTGAGTCGATCGACGTTGATCGTTTCAGCCTTACCATTGTAGTCAACGGTAAACGTCTTGTCGCTTCTGCGTACAACACGGTACGGACCAGAATAAGGAGGTTGAAGTGGTCGGCGTACGCTGTCAGTGCGAACGAACACGTGCGTGCAAGTAGTTAAGCGTTCGTCCACGTTGGTACGCAAGCTCTGTGCTCTGGGTTGCACAGGCTGAAGCTGTCGCATGTGATGAGATAGGCGAGCTGCGTAGTCGCCATAGTCGAAAGTTGTTGGCGCTTTTGGTGAGACGAGTTCACCAGGTAAGCGTTGTGTGCATCCAAAGACTAGCGACGATGGAGTGGCGTGCAAATCCGCTTTAATCGTGTTTCTTATGCCTAAGAGAACGAGCGGAAGTGCTTCGTGCCAGGATGTGCTAGATTGGGCACAGAGTGAGGCTTTGAGTTGCCAGTGGAACCTTTCTACCATCCCATTAGCTGCAGGATGGTATGCGGTGGTTCGATTATGTTGGCAACCAAGAACGTCGAGCAGTTTGCTGAAGGATCCGTCGAAGTGTGATCCTCTGTCGGTGATGACTACGCTTGGGCAACCGAATTGAGCTACCCAGCGTTCTAAGAAAGCTTGCGCAACTGTCTCAGATGAGCAGTTGACTAACGGAATCGCCTCTGGCCAACGAGTGAATCGGTCGACACAGGTGAGTAGGTACACGTAGCCTTTGCATGGAGGCAAAGGTCCGACCAGGTCGACATGGACGTGTGCAAAACGAGCGTCAGGAGCGGGAAAGACGCCAAGTGGGCTTTTGGTGTGTCTGTAGACCTTGGCGCGCTGACACTCTAAGCATGCGCGTGCCCAAAGGCGGACATCGCGATTGACGTTGGGCCATATGAAGCGTTCCGTTACGAGCTTCTGCGAAGCACGTATGCCGGGATGAGACAGGTTGTGTAAAGCATTGAAAACTAGTCGACGCATTGAGGTAGGAACTACGGGTCGGGGAGAAGTTTGTGAGACGTCACAAAGAATGGTCCCCTCAGACGAAGCTAGTGGGACTTCACGTAGTTTTAACGAGGTGTTGCGTCGTAGCTTGTCGATGTCGGGATCAGCTTGTTGGGCAGCAGCCATAGCGGCTAGATCAATGTTGGTGCCAGGCGATAAGCTGATCTGCTGAATGCGTGAAAGCGCATCCGCGACGGGATTGAGAGCACCTGAGACATGACGTACGTCTGTCGTAAACTGAGAAACGTAGTCTAGGTGTCTAGTTTCCCGCGGCGAGTACTTGTCTGTTGCGCCATTGATTGCGTAGATCAATGGCTTGTGGTCGGTGAAGACGGTGAAATGTCGACCTTCGAGGTAGTGACGGAAATGTCGGATACCTAGGTAGATAGCTAACAGTTCCCTACCGAAGGTGCTGTAACGCGATTCGGCAGGTTGTAAACGTTTCGAGAAGAAACCTAGAGGTATCCATCGATGGTCGATGAGTTGCTGAAGAACTGCACCGACGGCAGTGTCTGATGCGTCAGTCGTCAGGGAGAGTGGTGCAGACGTGTCTGGATGGGCGAGAAGCGCTATGTTGGAGATAGCGTCTTTGAGCTTCTCGAAAGACAATTTAGCGTCGTCTGTAAAGTGAAAAGACCGTTGTTTACCGCGGAGCAAGTCAGTCATTGGTTGAACAATGCTCGCGCAGTTAGGAATAAAACGTCTATAATAGTTAACCAGGCCAAGAAATCGGCGTAACTGCTTGAAGGAACTGGGAGCAGGGTAGTCCTTCAGTGCCTGGATTTTGTCTGGCAGGGCTTCAATACCAGAGGCAGATATGCGGTGGCCAAGAAAGTCGATGGAACTTTGGCCAAGCTCGCATTTATCGGGGTTACCGTCAACCCCGATAAATGCGAGCTTGGCCAAAGTTCCATCGACTTTCTTGGCCACCGCATATCTGCCTCTGGTATTGAAGCCCTGCCAGACAAAATCCAGGCACTGAAGGACTACCCTGCTCCCAGTTCCTTCAAGCAGT